CCCCAAAGTCAAAGTCCCCCAGATTACCAGCTATTAAGAGAGGGAGTGATGTTAATAGCTTGAATTCGAGTTCTGATAAGGTTGTGATTCCAAGAAGCACTACAAAGACACCGATTTTAGAGAGAAAGAAGTCGAAAAGTTTCAAGGAAACTAGTGTTGGGAGTGGAGCACTTTCTTCTTCTATTGAGGCATCGTCGAGTTATTCTTCTTCTTTGATCGTTGAGGCACCAGGGAGCATTGCTGCCGTGAGGAGAGAACAAATGGCACTCCAACATGCACAGAGAAAGATGAGAATTGCTCATTATGGAAGATCGAAGTCTTCCAGGTTTGAAGCTAAAGCTGTTCCTGTTGATTCTTCAATCAATGTGACAACAAATACTGATGAAGAAGAAAAGAGATGCAGTTTCATCACAGCAAATTCAGGTAAGGAAAAATATGAAATGAGTTGATCAAATGTTTCTTAGGTTCCTGTGGTTGAATTTGGTAAAAATAATTTTAAACTTGAATGAGACATCCCTCTAATTTTTCTCCAAACTTCCAATGCTTTTGTGCTTAGATCCCATCTATGTTGCATACCATGATAAAGAATGGGGAGTTCCAGTCCATGATGACAAGTAAAGACTCTGCCTTGGCCTCTGTCCCTTATTTTCTGTGTCTCGTTCAGTTGCAAACGAATTAGTTTTTTAACATTCCTAAATTTCTTACAGGATGTTATTTGAATTGCTAGTTCTAAGCGGTGCTCAGGTTGGTTCGGATTGGACTTCAATCTTGAAGAAACGCCAAAATTTCAGGTGAGTTATTGTTTTTTTAAAAAAAAGATTGAATTCCTTTTGTCTCATTGTTTCTCAGAATTAGCAAAAGCTAATGTTTCCTCTTCTGCAGGGATGCATTTTCAGGATTCGATGCAGAAATTGTGGCCAACATTACTGAAAAACAAATGATGTCAATCAGTGCAGAATATGGGATTGAGATTAGCCGAGTCCGAGGTGTTGTGGACAACTCTAAAAGAATTCTCGAGGTAACTAATTAATCCAGCATCGAAATTCGCAAATCATTTCGTCCTTTTCATAGTCCGCTCCGGTCCCTTCTTTTCATGGCACTCCTGTTGCATATAAAAACGTATTCTTGCATTATTCAAACTTCAAAAGAACCTTTTTTATTCGGTTTAAAAAGAACTTGTTTAAGAGTTCATGATTAAGAAAAGATGCAATCTCTTGATCAATGTCAACAGCTTGTTAATTAGTCTTCCCTTTTTCCTCTTTTTTTGGTGAAAACTAGCTGGCAAGCAAGCTCCGATCCCTTCCTGCTTTTAAATTCATGGTGTGCCCCACATTTTCTGTTAATAACCATGCAACAAAGGGACCCGTCGTTATTTAATTAGACCTTGTTTTATTTGAAAATTGATAGTCTCAATTGCTAAAAACAATGTGGTTGCTAATGTTTCTTGTAATATAATAAACTTTGTGTCCTTACAGATCAAAAGGGAGTTCGGGTCATTTGACAGATACATATGGAAATTTGTGAATAACAAGCCTTTCTCCAACCAATACAAATTTGGGCACAAGATTCCAGTTAAGACATCAAAATCAGAAACTATAAGCAAAGACATGGTTAGGAGGGGGTTCAGGTTTGTTGGTCCAACCATGGTTCACTCTTTCATGCAAGCTGTAGGGTTAACCAATGACCACTTGATCACCTGCCATAGGCATCTTCCATGCACCTTAATGGCAGCCCGCAGGCCTACCGAGGCACAAGCTGATCAATAGACGCAAACTGACATTAAAAAGGGGGGACACAGGAAAATTAACAAGACATAAAGAATATATGCTATAATGCATGTGTAGTTAAGCTCATTCTCTAACTTGGAATGGTTGTGTGTATAATATTAGATAGGAAGAAATATTAAAAGGGTTTGTGACTAGTCACTTTGTGAGATGCTGTGAGATTTTTCTTTTAAATTTGTTTCTAATTACAGTTTGAGTGCGCGATGAAATAGATTAGAGAGAGGAAAGGTTGGCATAGTACTGTTGTGGTGGAAGAGACAGGTAGCATGTGCAATTGGGAGGTGGTGGCATGTGTGGGTTGCCAGTCGCTTTTTATTCCATGTGACTTCTCACACTTTGCCTTATTCGAGGGGTTTTCCTTTAACAGGCTGTGTGAGATACTCGTTGAAGGAGGGTAGGGCCACCTGCTATCATCCCCACCTCCCTCTCTTTCTATGTGTTTTGAGCTATAATTCTCCTGTATTTTTAACCTTTTTAGCTTCTGAGAGAATATTATACTCCAATTGTGAAATGTATCTTTGATTTGGTGTGGCATTTTCAGTGTTGTTCGATGCATTTGTCATGTGCTTCCCTTTAAAATTTATCTTTCTATAATTTCTAGCCATATATGGATTGGACGAGATATCTTCTCCATGTGCCCACTGTCTATTTCATACGCTCTAAGTTCTATCACAGAAACGCATTTTGCTATAAAATCAGACACCAGCATAATGCAGGGAGAGAAAATACGACGTAAGATACACCAAGCCATTCTTGAATATAACAGAGGAAAATTGATGGATACAGAACAATGAGCTAGGCCCTCGTTTATTACAAGGAAAGAAGCAAGATTGTGCATGATTTTAGAGTTTCAAGCTTCAACATAAAAGATAATAGATGAATTTAATGGGTTCTTGGTGAGAATCTGACTCGTTCTCTATACTCTAGCTCATATAGAAGGAGAACGATGCGTCAGTCCGCAAACATTTACTAAGAAGTCCGTAATAAAACACTCCTGCTGCAATAGTTGAATGCTTTGCAATATAAACTTTAAGAAGTCAAATCGATGACTAATTCATGTGACGAGTAAGAATATGTTCGACACGGTTTTTGAATTATGACATTTAAATGTTCGACACGGTTTTCGAATTATGACATTTAATTTTAAGTTAATTAATTTGGGAACTTTCTGTACTCCAGATGTCATTGCATGAGAACTTCCCAGCACCATTTTTTCATAACCACCTTAGTTTCAAAAGTATAATAATCTGTTAGTTGAAATCTAAAACCACTACTCTTGTTGAGTTATAGCCCAGTATTGCTATAAAACAGTCACATCCTTCTTGAGTTAGATCTTGTATAAATATAAACCACGCATGGCATTAGGTATTCATGACTACAGCAACAAGAAAAAGACGTTGTTCTAACTTGCAAGATCAAAGTATGGGATCTTCACCAGAATATGCATATACTCTGTTTCATATAGTAGTCACTGATTAGCAGCAGAAAAGATAATGGGTTTAGGCTGTAGTCGTAACTAAGTGTTCAAAGATGAAGGGTAAAGCTGAGATCAGCGAATGAGCCGCATCCCAGATAGCCAAATCTGGCTGTTCCCCAACTTGTTGAAAAGTAAACGAGTCAATAATTGAGCCAGCAGTTTCCCAATATCACAGCATACAGATTTAAGCAAGATAGAAGCAATTTCTTCTAATTCCATGCATAAAATCCGTGGCCTGCAAAGACTTCGAGCAAAATTGCCCAACGAATAATGCCTGGTCACCCAAGCTTTCTACTTTGACCCTCTTTGGGCAACCACTCATGTCCAGTATGAATGCCTGAAAACCAGCAGTTCTTCTACATGTCTATTGCCTGGCTACAATACTTCGGCATTCTCATGACCATTGGAATATCACCGCATGACTCAAACTAGATAGCTAGTTGCATAAAATTCAATGATTTGCCATTATCCAAACCCTTGTCTAACTTGCTGCCACTCTCCATTTCGAGGTCATATACCCTGCGTGGTCAACACAGAAACATCCCCTTCGATATTATCATGTCTGCAATGCAAGTGGGTCAGTCCTTGACGGATGTCCAAAACAAGTCCTTTGGTCTACAAAATAAAAGAGACCCCCGAACAGAAGTAGTCCTTCAACTGTGAGGAGGTCCGACGAAGGCTTGATGAACTTGAAGGCAATTTCAATAAAAACGACACGTGACATTAAATCTCTATATCTTAGGAGTGAAATCACGTCTCCGGTGAATGGACTGTAATTGTACACCGAGCTGTAATTATCCGAGATTCACTAGAACCAACCTCTAATTCAAGCCAAGCGTAATGTGGAATGACAAGTTCATATACTTCCGGTCTAGGAGATTAAAAAACCGACCAGCATATGGACATTGTATAACCATAAGCAGTTGTACGAAGTTCAAGAAATTGAGGTTCTAGATCAGGAAACGCTACTTATATACATGTTGCACAATCAACACCGAACCAGAGGCTCTTAGGCAGTAGCAGTTATATGTTGTTTGATTTATATTTTACTGGTGAGACAGCAGCTATTGCCAGCACAGAAGTAGATGCCTCAAAGCAAGCTAGTTCCAGTGGAGCGGAGGCAGAAGAGGTCAGACATGTTTCACCTGCAAGTAACACCTCTACTGTAGTGAATTTAGCAGAGAAAGCTAGGCAGAGGGCTATGCTGAGACACGGTGGAGGTGGAGCTCCAACAGCGCTTTCTCCTCAAAACACTAGGCCGTGGGAGAGTTCTAAGTGGTCGCCCAGCAGGTGGGCACACTCCCAGTCAACAGGGTTAGGGTTTTACATGGTTTTATTAAACCCGTGCTTGCCGCTTTTTCTTTTTGGGAAATTATTCAGTAAGTACATATGACGAGGGAATTTTGACCGAAGCGAAAGTGCACAGAATCACATAGCCCTTGGATAACTTTGTATGAATAGCAAGCGTGAATAGAAAAAAAAATAGCATCAATATGCAAAACTACTCGCATTTTGATAAGGATCATCAGGTTTAGCCACCACCAGAAACACCCTTATTTCTAATTTACAATTTCATTTTTTTTTTTTATTAATGTGATAATCAAACCTAATCAAAAGTACCCTTCACCACTTAGGAAACAAATCCCAAGGGCATGGGCATAACCACATCAAGAATTTCCACCATTTAACAGGGTAGGAACTAGGAAACCAACAAAAGAAAGGGACAAAAAATCAAATTCAAAGGAAAAAAAAACAAAAAAAGAAAACTACATGATACCCCAATGTTAGTAGGGGGATGGGCTTTCTCATATGATACAGACAAGGAACCACTTCGAGTGTCGCCAAGGCATCCCCTCCTTGAAAAAATTTTACTCCCAGTACCTCACAACAGAGGATCTTCGTTTTTTTTTTTTTTTCTTTCCCCTGAACGTTCCCCATTCAGGTGGCTTTTGCATCAGCAGCAATGGCTGTATTTCCACAGCTCCGAATTCAACTGCTGTTTTTAGGAACAGAGTTTATCGGGACTTTATTCCGTCACTCTATTGTGTTTTCTCCAACCCGAGAGTCCACCTTGTTTTTTGTAGCAGATATATCTATCGACTGAAAACCAGTGATCAATTCATTTGTTTTCTGCTGCCAAATAGATGAGAAAATCACAAAATTAATAAACCAACACTATATCAAATAAAAAATCTTGTTAGAATAATAAACAATAAGCGAGAACATGGGAGCATGTCTGAAGGAGAGGAAAAACTAGGCATGATTACAACACTTTTTAAGAACAGAATAAAGCCAAATCCCAATTTCATATCTTTAATGGCATAACATTGTCCACTATCTTGTTGTATGGAGAACCATTCTTTATCCTTTAGTATTTTATGGGAAGAGAATCAAACACAGAATCTTAAGATGCAACAGCTTCACGCCATTAGCCATTGATTTTGACAGCAAATATGATTCTCAATCCTCCAAAGATTATGATGACAAGATGGTCTACTAATGAATGCACTCACCAAAACAATCCACAAGATTTGAAGGGAGAAAAACTTTTAAGAGAATAAATACAAAAATACGTAATAATAAAAAAGGAACAAGGGTAGGAAGCTAACCTGTTTGTGATCAAAATGGGATATCAATGACCTTGGTCTTCTCACATGCATCGCCTTCTGGCAACTTTCATAAAAATCGAAGTCATCCAATATTGATGTCTTTGAAACATAGTTCTTGAATATGTTCAGAATTTCAATACCTTGAGGAAATTTTACCTGAAATGGGAGAGATAGTTAAAATTGGTTCAAAGAGAGCACAGAATTCGCACAAGAACAAAAGACCAGCAGCGAAAAAATGGTTAGTTAAGCACACCTCCTGTGTGTCTCTGCTATTTGTTACCGGCTTGTTCTCATTATTTTCAAGTATTATATGTCGTAGTTGGGGGTTTGGAATATCTTTAATGATATGCCACTTGACTGGGAAATAACCATTCCACTTCTCCTGTTGCCAGAAATCCATGTTTTTATTGAAATCAACACGACCAATCATTTCTGCAATTCCACAGAACTGGCCACTTGCATTTACCTAAATCAGCCAATAAAATTCCAATATAAATGCATCAGTACACTAACAAGGAGAAAATAATGGAGCACAGTAGGTAGTGCCTGAAACTCAGGTGCCAAAATTATAATAAAATTCAGGTGCGTACCGAAAAGAAAAGAAACACAGGGCAACTGCAGCCTTTCTGTGCTATCTTCTGTTGCGAATCTAGATATGCACTGTCCAGCCTCTTATTTCCATTAGGAGTACTGGCCCACACATTGTACTTGATGCTTTTATGAATATCATCTTCAATATAAGATTTGATGACAAAGAAAAATGCATGATCGTAGTTGGTTGGAAAGTCAGGAAGGTTATATTGATCCCTGCTAATAACTGAAGTTATGCTGTTACTGTTTCCGTTCCCATCAGGAGCCAAAGATTCAGCAGCAGTACCTCCAAATGCCACAGAACCTTTTGCACTGGTTGTCCTGGGACCATGATTCTGCTCATTAAGCAATGCATCATTGATGCCATTGGTCTTGCTTCTTGTTTTCAGTTTTTCATTGCTTCCCCAACCCCTTGCATTTGCCTTAATAGTGTTATTCGGATAGAGCATGGCACCCTTCCTTGGATTATAAGATGGAAACTTTGAAAATGGAAAATACCCTTTGCCCAGTACATCTGACTGGAATGAAGAGACATGCTGTGAAGCCTGAAAGTAGAGGGAAAAAAAATCATCAAAACAACCTCAAAAGGAAAAGACACGAGGATATACTGCAAAGTATAAGGAACTGAAATACCTTGCCAGGTAATTTTAACTGGTTACGCATGCCATGAACAGATGAGACATCCAGTGCTGGAAGGGAAGTCTTAGTTTCTAACGATTTGCTTAAGTCAGAAGGCAGTGCCTTTTTTGGTACAGGACCACGAGGGTTACTAGGTGAAGACCTGTTAGGTTTAGTTCTAGGAATTTCCAGAACTCCGCTGTGGCCATAATTCCCTAATGTTCCATCCCCAGCAAAAACAGATGGGTCCCATAGGTGTGGTAAAAACTCTCCATAGGGAACAGGAGTTGGAATATATCCAGGGGAAGGAATGGATGGTTGGAACATGGAGCTTGGTGAATATGGTGATTGAGCAACAAATTGTCCATCAACACCAATCATGCTTACAGGCATGTAAGCGCTGTAAGAGCTGTAATTATGGTGTATCCCTGGAATGAAGTGGATCAAAGACCCATTATCTGCCTGCATAACCTAGGGGAAGCATGCGTGAATGTCAGATAAGCTGCTTGCATGATTTGATAAAAAAACACGAATTACACATGTGGCCATTGAAATTATGCTTTTTATGCTCAAAAGATTTCCAAAATTCAGTTAGCTACCTTGACAGTGACTATCAAATAGACAAAAATAAAAGACCTAACTAAAGAAGAAAAGGAATGGTTGTTTCCATATCATTACTGACCAGTACAAAGCTTAAAATTCCTTACAGGGTATTGAAGTTCTGTTCCATCACCAGCCACATAGTATAGTTGGTCATTAGACCCTCCTCCAAAAGTAGCATCATAACCTGGTAAAAAAGCTACTGTAAGAAATGAAAACATAGATGCATAATCAATAGACATACACAAACAAAAACAATTGATCGTACTTCATCTGTTGAAACGAACAAACCTGGATAGTAATATCCGTAGAAGTAGTTCTCAGCTGGATACGGCAAGGCCCGATCTGTAGTCAGGGAATCATGATCGAGCACATCATCTTCTTTGACACTCCCAGTAGCATCTCCTGCCGAAGAAATACACGACGTTGCATCTGATGGGCTCCCATCCTTTGAAAGGACCTAAATTAAAATAAATAGATAAAAAAACAGATTCATAAATTAATTATTTCGATCGTTATTTATATAAGAATTCAAATTCAATCAATTGAAACAAGGGATGGGTTTATAGGCGCTAAATTACCGTATTAGATTCGGAGAGTTCTAGAGAAGGATCAACCTTAAGATTCCTCATCATTTCTTCAATTGCTGATAATCATTAATTAAAAGAAAGAAAGAAAAACAAAACAAAGTCAAAAATCAAATAATTAACCACACGGCAATAACGACCAAAACTATAAGATAAAAAATATATATATTTGCAATAACAATTCTAAAAAATGGAAAAAAAAATGTACTCAGATCTGCACAATTATTGAACACGTAAAAAGGAAAGAAAAAAACTTAATATCCAGCAGACCGGTTATTGTTGTATTCGACAAGTGTTTTAAAAACAACTAAATAACAGAAAACAAAAAAAAAGGAAATCAAATTCATAAACTTGTTTTAATTTCTCTCTCTTTCCGGACAAAATTAATTAAAGTTAAAACTCATAACTCTATCATAATCCGACGAATAACACAATACACACATGCAGAGTGAGGATTACGTTTATGAGGGGATTGTTGTTGTTGTTGTTGTTGAGCCATAAAAAGTGAAGTCAATAGTAGAAGCAGTGAAGCAGAAGGACCCAAACACGGTCTTAAAAGGCAAGGCAGCCTCTTCCTATATATCAGAGATCATAAAGTGGAGGGGAAAAAAAGACGGAAACAAATTGAAAAGATAGCGAATATGGAAGGACCGGAGAGCGCGTTGTGTTGTTCGAACGAACTCTGAATTGGATATTTTTACTGACCGGCAATATCGGGATTACGATTGTACTCTGATTCCGCTTTTTGCAGAGCAGGCCCGAAATATCGGACACCAAAAATACACTGTAATAATACTGGGAGAGTGCTACTGAAATCGTGTGTTTTTCCTGGGATGATCGCTTGCTTGCTTGAAGGGAAGAGGAAGGCGAAATGAAAGGAGAGGGAAATGCTTTCGGGAATATTAGTAAGGGAAAGGGACGGCGGAGAATATGACACGTCCGTTATAGGTCAGATAGATCGAATTGACGGCTCTTTTTATTTTAGTATTTTTAATAACAATTGTTATTTTTAATATGATATTATTTCATTTTATACATGTTATTTTATTTATAAAAATTACCATTTACCTGTTTTTATGTGAAAAGAAAAAAAAGGACTATTGAGGTTTATTATTATTATTATTATTATTATTGGCGTGTTGTGATCATATTTGTCATCTTCCCTGTTTGGACCCCACTCAGTTTTTTTCCTTGTTTTCCATGCTCGTTAAGCGTTCAGCCTGCTTCCACTGTGGGCAAAGTTTGAATCTAGATATTTACAAGATATTATATAAATATTATATTAATTTAAGTTGTGGAGTGCTCTTTTTTATTTTTTTCCAGTGGGTTCATCAAATTATCTATGCTCAATTTTTTTTTTATGTGGAGTATTTGAGTCTTACGCTCCACCGCAACTAAATCTCGTAACCAATTAAATATTTTATAAATCCAATAAACATATAAATCACCATAAGTTAACCCATACTCAATTTTATACTTACAAGCTAGTGGTAATCTTTACAACTACACCAACAATATACCATCGGTTACGCCTTCAGCTATACTTTGCGGCTATGCTCATAGCGATGCCACCAGACTACATCCACAAATAAATTTTATGGTGGCCCGCACACAGCAGAAGATAGCTTTACTGTAGTTGTTGCCGTCCTCGCTCTTGCTTATTCATGTTTGCAAGACTTGGAGATATATGAAAAAACTATAATTTATATATATATATATATATTCATAAACATATCTATAAATATCTCAGATATTTATTAAAAAATTATATTAAATGTTTTATAACTTATATATTTATAAAATATTTCTTTAAGATATTTATTTTAAATAAGTTTGTATAAGTTCATCTCTCGATGGACATTAAAAAAAAATCAGAGCTCATCTTTCTAGTGCTCATCTCCCTTAACTTCAGGTCTAACACTGCACGTGTATAATACAGAACTTTAACAAGGCCTAATAAACATTCAATTCTATAAAATATTAATTATTCGTACAAATATTGTACTGGTTTAAAGCTTTGTAGTGTTGTTCTTGTAGGTGTTGCTAGATCCGTCAATTTTTCCAGGCCTGATTTTATCAGCCTATAAAAAACATTAAGTGGGCATTTTAAAGCCTCATCACCTGTTAAATAGTGGTGGTCGTCTTCAAAGATTATCATTTGAGGCCATCTCATGGTTACGGCTTTGCAAATCCTGTTTTAACTCGTAATCAAGAGAGAGATCAAAGCTATCGGTTATGAAAGATGCCTTACCCACGAAAGATAGCATAAAAGATAAATTCAATTTAATTATGTGAGAGAACTCTTAAATTTAATATCAGCTATATATCATCTTCATAACTCTATAAATGTTCTACCTGTCATCGAAATACATCAAATATATAATCGTGACTCTAATAAATACTGGTCCTAGATTCCTGAAACTACAAGCCATGCTCGACTATGTAATGATTTTTTTTTTTTGGGGTTGAAATATGGCTTTTTTTTCTAAAAATATTTAAATGTTTCAATTATTTTTTAAAATGTTTTTTGTGCCAAAATAAATTAAAATAATTTATTTTATTTTTAAATAATTTTTTTTAAAATTAATACATCAAAAAAAATATATAAATATTTTTTTATATAAAATACAATTTACAACAAGTTTTCAAACAATAACTAAATTAATGGCTGGGAAAATAATCAGCCGCCATGTATTTGAATGACATCTCACGAGTGGCGTCAGGACATGCCGTTAATTAACAGTGTTCCTAGTCCTGAGCTGACGTGGAGAGCAAATATCATCCTTTTAAAAAACAAAGTTACAATAGTTTTTTAACAAATAAATAACTGAAGAAAAAAATTGAGTTATTTAAGTTTTTATTGTTTTTAAAAAGTTTTTGAATATAAATACTCTTTTTCTGTACACTTTACAACAAGCTTCTTGAGATAAGCAAGAATTCTTTATTAAAAATATTAAATTTTTTATTAGATTTAATAATCAAAGACTAATAAAAAAAATTTATTAGTTTTTATATAAAGGTTATTGCTGAAATTTTTTAGAGTTTAATCAATCAATAACAAATTAATAAATTTAAGTCTTTACTGTTTAACATACCACCCATAACAAGATAAAACCATATACCTGTAAAGAGTATTATTTAAAGTGTGATATTGAAGTGATTGTTATTTTTTTGTTTTTTATTTAAAATAATATTTTTAAAAAATAGTTTTAATATCAACACAAGACAAGAGGTGTAAAAAAAAATTTAAAATTTAATTTTTGATGAACAGTATTAAGGTGCATGTTTATCCATTCTACTCCAAGCATCAAAGGGTAAACTTTTGTTTTTATCAATTTTATATTTTGCTCTACAAGTTCAGAAATTGATAGAATTGAAATCGCGTCTTCTCAAATAAAAGTTAATTTCATCACCAGGTTTTATGTTTTCAGCTTTTTTGAAATGCAGTTATGATTATTTTTTATTTAAAAATATATTAAAATATTTTTTTATTTATAAAAAAATATTTTTAATATTAACACATCAAAATTATTTAAAAATATTTGAAATATATTAATTTAAAATGAATTAAAAAATTCAAATAAATTTAACGAGTTTACTTGAGTTAATTTAAATTATTATTTTTTAATTTTATTATTTAAAATTAAATTAATTAAAAATAATTCAAATTATTTTTAAATTAATTGAATTAAATGCTTCATATTAAATTATTAAAATAATAATATATCAAATATATGAAAATATAATTAATTTTTCTAACTACCTTTTTAAAGTACACATCAGCATTAAAACAGGTATTTTCAAGAGGAAAAACTATTTAGAAGAGCGGAATTGATAATTTGATTTTTAACATAATATAAATATGGTATTCTTCATACATGCTTTTCAGATATTTAGAAAAATCGATTATATTTTAATATATTTAATAAAAATAAAAATAAAAATATTTATTAATATAATTAACTAGTATATAATACTCCAATCAATACTAATCTTTTGCATAAAAACATACGAAACAAATTTTTAACACTTTTGACCAGTATACACGAACAGCTTTACAACATAAAAATATTATTTTAGCTTTCTAATATGGCCTTCTGGAGCTGCAAAAACCTTTTAGTTTTAATTTAGTACTTTCTTAAGAGATATTCATATTACCAGTCTAACTCCACTCTTTTAAATAGCATCTCCTCGTCACCATGAAAGCCCAAAACCGAAAGGAGATTTTCTTTTGTTTTCAACCTGGTGAGTTTCGAGAGCGGTAGATTTGTTTTTTGTTTTTAATGTTTTTGAAAGTGTGTTTTATTTTAAAAAATAAATTAAAGATTTTTAGTATTTTTTTAAATTTTGATTTACTGATATTAAAAGATATTTTAATATATTTTTAAGTAGAAAAACATTTTTAAAAAATAAAAAACACATGATATGGCAATTTTCAAACATAGTATTACAACGAACAAAACAAAACCATGCGGTGCTGTCATAAAAGGAATTTTCTTTTCCCATTTAGCAACTTGAACACATCTCTTTGGATGCGCGCAGAATGGTTCCTTCACTGGTTGCATGCAAGCATTTCCCTTCACCACGAAAACGACAGCGTAGAGAAGATATATTTATACCCATCAATCCGACGGCTGGGATAATATACTAACAAGATAAGCAATCTGGAATTCCACATCCTGTAATGATACCTTCGCACGTGAAAGGGGACAAAATAAATAGTAGGGTCACCTCCAAGAACTCTTCCACTCTACCGACTGTCGTCTCTATCTTGTCCATTTTTTTTTTTTTTTATCATTTCTATTTTTAATTTTTTAAATAAATAATTATTTTTTTTCTATATTTTATTATTAATGGTGTTCAAATTTTATTTTTTTATAAAAAATAATATCGCCGTGCAGGGGTAATATTGTCTTGCCACTCAAGGATGTTCTGATGGAAGGGCCTAATTGAAAAACAATAGCTTTATTAGGTTTTCTTGGCGGGCAGGTCTTGCCAGGCCCAGCCATCCATTTCTTTCATTAAAACAAAAAAAATCCAGTTTTTTTTTTTAATTACGATGGTTCCAATGTTGGGAGAGCATGAGCTGCCACGTTTGACCCCTACAATGGCTGCACGTGTCAGGCCTTCGCAACAGTCCATCATCGAATTGGATAACCAATTCTTAGTATTTCTTTTTCTTTTTTTAAATAGTACTGGCCTAAAAAGTTTGGGCGCACAGCATTTTCATGCGTTTTGCTGCTGAAAATAATGCAATCGGAGTATATTTTGCTTGAATGTATTATTATGGTTATTTTTTAAATAATTTTTTATATTAAAATATATGTTAATAATATTTTTTTATTTTTAAAAAATTATTTTTAATATTAGTATATCAAAAAAATTTGAAAATAGTAAAAATATATTAATTTAAAATAAATAAAAAATTAAAATTTTTTATAAACATTTTTGAAACAAAAACATCTATTTAAAAAATATATATATCAGAAATCATGCTGTCTGAAAGAGCATGATTATTTAAGATGTTGTTGTTAAAAAAAAAGCGTAGTCTTTATATTTAAAAAAAACTGAGTTGCGTCATCTAAAAATACAATCTATAAATTAAGTTGTTTTCAACGAAACATTAAATGGATTATGCTGTTGTCGACACAATACATAGATTTGTAATATTTATTCAAATATTCCTTAATTAAGCTAATTTGTCAAAAAAAAAAATCATGAGCACCGCTTTTGAACAAAAAAATCCCCGATATTCCCCGGACACAACATTTTATCGATCCCAGACAAGAGAAGCAGATTGAAAACGTGTATTGGAGTGGTATATTAATT